ATTTAAGTTATGAATAGTGGTTAATTACAATACTGGAATTTTAAAGTAACAGGTCATATTGATCACACAAAAGAACTGCTCTGACTTGTAATGCTCAAGAGTTTGAGAGAAGAGGGCCCTTGTATATTAACCTGATAATGTTCACCACTAAGCCTTCCTCTTTCTTCTGACGTCTTTCCTGTTCCTTGAATGTTGGTTTACCCTCTCCTGAGCTTACTTGCATATGGCTTCAATTTCCTTTCCCTCCCTTTCATGTTGCCTGGAAGCCAGAGGTTTTTAACTTGGAGTTTATAGAACCTAAGAATTTCTTAATTCTTAGTAACTGGCTATAAGAGGGCCATTGAAACCCCTGAAATTTGTTTATAAAACTTTTTGAATATTTGCACATGTGAATTTTTCTAGTGAGATGAATTATAACTTTAATTTATCAAAGGAGCATAAGGTCTCCTTATTTTATGGACTACCACCGCAACAGGCAAACAAGTACATTCTAAGTACATTCACTAACAAGTATTTTTTTGTGCCTCTTCTCTGGGCCAATGGACTGTAAATCAGTGCTTTTAGAACTTCGATGGGCATAAATCACATCTGGAGAGCTTGTCAAAAATGCATAAAAATGTTTGAGTGCCCAAGGTTCTACAGTTTTTAACTAGCTCCCACGTGGTCCTGATGTTTCTGGTTCCCAGGAACACACTTTGAACAGGAAGTCTAAAGGATGCAGTAAACATAAATAAATAAATAAATAAATAAATAAATAAATAAATAAAACAATGGTCTTTATCCTCAAGGAGCTCACCATTTATATGGGAAAACGCTTTTCTGATATACATACTCTACTTAACACTTACAATAATATATCTTTAGCATTCAACCTGACGTACCAAACAATAGTTTGGGGACTCCATAAAGTCTCTAACAAATAAATATTTTTAATGGGAGTATAAATTGTCTATAAATGGTCTTCAAAGAAGATAGAAATCAATGTAGCTTTTTAGTATTAGAATTTTTTAAATTAATTTCAGGTGTACAACACAGTGCAATAGTTATACTTTTTACCCCTCAAAGTGATAATCCCTCCTCCCCAATCCACTGCCCCACTCCCCCACCCTGATATCATACATATCTATTACAATCCCATTGACTCCACTCCCACACTATATTCCACATCCCATGACCATATATATATATATATATATATATATATATATATATATATTCAATTATAGTTGACATACAATATTATACATCAGTATTTAGCATATTTTTAATTGATACTTTCTGATCTGGGAAAGCCCATGTATTACACTTTCATTTTGCTCTAAACAAAGAAGATAAAAATTAAATTAACTTGTTATGTATTAATATATATTTTATTGGCCATGATAGACTGACTTTTGTAACCAAAAAACCCCCAGTGTTTCAGTAGATTAACATAAAAAAGGTTATTGCTCATTCAGATCAGAGTCCGCAGTCCAGTATACTTGGGGGAAAAGATAGGCTCTGTTCCACGCAGCCATTTGGGAATGTGGGTCCCTTCCACACTGTGATGTGACCATCTTCAGACCTTGACCCCCAAGGGCGTCATCGACAGGGAAGAGCAAGGAAGAGCCCCTAAAAGGGGGCTGAGAAATGGTGTTTTACCAGGACAGAGAGAAGAAACACGGGTGTTCATGAACACTAGAGCACTCTCTGTTGCAGTATTTTTTTTTTCTCCAACGGACTCATAATCTTGATAGAAAAAAAAATTGTGTTTGCCTAACTAAAGGAACATTAGTGAGCATATCAGTCTGTTTTCTCTGACAAGGAGGGCCTTGTCTGTTTTTGCTGCCCACAGTATCCCCAGATTGTAGCACAGAGGCTGTCTGTCGCCTAGGGAGCATGGGGCCCGCTGAGGATTTGTGGGATGAATTTTTGTTGAAAATCCCTTAAAGAAACAGATCTAGCTGCCCTGATAGAAGGTTCATGCACCTTGAATCTGGAGATTATGAGGCACTGAAGTAGTCCTTTGTGGTCTAGTTAATAAGAACAAAAATAAATAAAAGACAAGGCTCCAGGGTTACTTAGGTAGATCTGAGTATTACCACCCAATCCCACACCCCCAACAGCTAACAAATAGACCAACCCAAATTAAATTTAACTAATTTCTTGAATGTTAACCCAGGTTATGGGCCAAGCTTTTCTTACTATTCACTTTATTTTCTCTCTGCCCAGTTTCGAAGGTTCCTTTTGCAGCTCCTGTGTTTCCGACTGCTGAGGTGCCAGAGGCCTGCTATAGACCAAAGGGCGGTTGGGAGTGAAATGCAGCTCAGACCCATTGTGATGTCAAAGAAAGACAAGGACAGGCCCAAGAAAACAGTGACTTTTAACTCTTCTTCCATCGTTTTCATCCTTACCAGTGATGAATCATTATCGACTGACAACAGTGACAAAACGATAAACGGGTCGAAGGCTGACGTAATCCAAGTGCGACCTTTATAAGAATAAACAATGACAATGAAAGATGGGTACTTAAACTGAACTGTACTTTTAGACTTCCATGATAAGGACTGTTTTGAAATCCCCATTCTGTGTAATATCAAAAGGATTTTGATGGCCCAGCAAGAAATCCGAATTACCCATGTGTGCTCTAGTCTCTGGAAGCAATTGAGCAAAGAAATTCTTTAATTCAATGGGTGCTTTACATAGTGAAAAACCACCATGGTATAAGATGAGCATATGGCATCAGCTTCTACCATGTGGGAAATTTTTCACCTCAAACGTATTTTTTAAATGACATTTTCCAAGGCACACAATACAATTTTTTTTTGCAAAAATAAGTAGCTGTAAAAATAACTTTGTCTGACACACAGGTGTGAAATAGCTAGAAAATCTTAAATTTTCTGTAGTGTTGGGTTCTATTCATTGTCGTGTCAAATGTTTGACCCATCAAATTTATTACATGCAATTCTAGGGTGAAAAAGAAAATCGATTCCCTAATTTACCTGAAACAAAAGACTGTTGCTATGTGTTAATAAGATAAAGAGGAGCTTCAGACAAATGTCCTGCTTAGCAAGCTCTAGAAGATACTACCAAAAAGCAACACTGAAAAAAAAAAATAGGATGGTGAATTTCAAGGTAATCATGGTGTGTAGGCAATCCTACATTAGTAGAGGGTATTCAGGCTAAAGATTGTGTTGATGGCAGATGGATATCTCCATCTATATCATTTCAAACATGAACATGGCAGGATGATCTTCTCCTAATAATTTCCCACCATTTTGCCAAGAGTTCAGTATTTAGAAAAGGAGTTGCAACAAAACAAACAGACCTACATTTGAAGGAGGATAAAAGTAAGTTTAAAACTATACTCATAAAATACATTATTTAACCTTTATTACTCTTTAATCAATCTGCTGGATAATTTAATAGTGTTAGTATAGAGACTATTTTACCCATTAGTCATTGTTTAGACTAAACACAGATTATTAGAATGCAAGGATTTATTTGACAATATAGAAAAGAAACAGGGAATACTTTTATTTTGTTGTCTAATTTTTATTTCTTAGATGACAGTCCTACTAGTGTTGCATCTTCATAATTAATCATGTTTAAAGATTTCTAAATTATTCAGTCAGCCTATTGAGAACGAGGAACCAAAGAAAACATTTTCACCAAATGAACATTTAAACATCAAGTTTATTTCTGGTTCTGCCAAAGCATGTAGTTCAAGAATAAGTGGGTAAATTGCTTCTAGGAGATGGAAATGAAATAAAATACGGCTTCATGTTTCTACGAAAACTGTCTACCTTTGTTTCTTTTCTACTCTTTTGTATATGTAGATATTTAATTTATAAATACAACCCTTCCTAGCCTTCACTTAGTATGGCATTAACAGCCTTTTAAAAAATCTTTGGAAGGTAATACTGGCATTTGAAGACTAGGAAATAAAATTGATTCATTTTGAACTCTCTAGAAAGCCCTCAAATCCCTCATTTATACTTCTAGTTTTGTCAAGTGAATCTGAGAACTGTGCTTAGATAAGTTCTATCCAGGCAATGAAAAGTGTAGTTCACATGCCAGGCCAATTGTAATATTTGGTCCCACATGTTGAGTCAAACCTATCATGACCTCCATTTATGTCCTTTAAAGAAAAAGGCATGTCAGTGTCTTCCTTGAGGCTTTTAGGGCCTAACTCATTCAGAAGTGAAAGAGGTATTAGTCATTGCACGTCCTTCTATATTTAGAATGACCTGACTTAATTTATTTATTATTATTTTATTTTTTTATTCCCCTTTACCTTCTCCCGCTTTTAATTTTTCAATTTATTTAAATATTATATTGTATTAATTTCAGGTGTACAGCATGGTGGTTACACATTTATGTAATTTAAGCACTGGTCCCCTTGACTAGTCTAGTACCCACCTGGCATGATGGTTATTACCATATTAGTTATTATATTATTGACTATATTTCCTATGCTTTCTTTTATGTCCTCATGACTATTTTGTAACTATCAATTTGTACTTCTTTTTTTAAAGATTTTTTTTTTAATTGTGGAATTGTGGGAGGGGAACAGTGCTGGGGAATCGGGGGAAGGGGAACAGACAAGTTGCTGTTGTTTTGTTCTTCAGTCTAGTTGTGAAAGATGTTGCTTCACTGGCCCAAGTTGGCACCATCATTGTGCTCTTCCCAGGAGAGGCAGATCAGTCTCTAGCCTCTGGATGGTCGCTCATGGCAACTGCTGGCCTCTCAAGCTGGCTGCTGGCTACACACGGTAGCCCATGGCAACCTACTGCAGCAGGGGCTGCAGCCTACGCCGTTGCAGGCGACTCACGGCAGCCCAGCTCCAGGTTGAGCTGTTGTTCAGCATCTTAGCTGTAGCATGTGCAGCTCACTGGCCCATGTGAGAAGCAAACTGGCAGCCCTTTTGCTCAGAGCTCATGCTCTTAAGCCAACTCTTAACCAACTGAGCCACTTGGCCGGCTCCCCCTTTTTAAATAATCACAGTGAACACACAGAGAAATTATATATTTAATTTAATTATAAGGTGACAAGTATCTTCTATTAGTGAAATAAATATGATATGAAAAATGGTTTAATTCTTAGTTTTCGTTACAGAGAAATCAAGTATATTTGCTACTTCAGGACCTTTCTATCACCTGCTAATGACATTGAGGATTTGTTCTAGTAATTCCATGGAGTTTGCAGGGAAACATGTCCTGTATTATGGAAGTTAGTGACCCAGTTCCATGGTCTTCTCAAGTAGTCCAGGGGTCTCGGTGACATGCAGCGTATAAGTAGGTAGGTACTACTGATGGCTATCAGTGTTCCAAAGAAAAAGGCTCCTTTTTTGATCACCTGGAAAGACAGCACAAACTCTCATGTTATGTGTCCAAAGATTAAAATCTTGAAATAGACTTTATTCTTAGATCAAGGGGTATACAGTTTCCTTTGTTCTTTAACCTGAAACAGCAATTTAATTTCCTGACCCCTAACTAGTCTTGCAATGGCTTGTAAGATGAATAATTTGGATCTTCCCGTCTCCTTTTCTCCCTCCTTTCTCTATTTCCAGAAACATCTGAATTTATGTGTTCTGTATAAGAAATTCTTAGCAGTCAACCTTTGTACAGCCATTTACATAAATACACAACTCACAGTGTAGAAAAAGACCTATTAACTCTGTCTCAGAAGAGCACTAGGTCAAAGCCACAAACAATTCAGTCACTGCTCAGACCCTGCACAAAATGTCCATTGGAAGAGTGATGGACCTCGTGGCCTCTGTGACTCAAAAGCCATACACATCTGAAGAGTTTGAACACAATGTCTCCACCGCTTGCAGTGTATCAACAAGGCTTATTCCAGTCTGGGTTAGGTACACTTCCATATTATCCTGGTCTTTATCTACACAGCACGCATTGTCCTGCATTCTAACTATGTCACTGTCGCTTTGTCCTATTAGACTTTTAGCTCCTTGAGGGCACGGACCCTATTTTACTCATCTTTGAATGAGTAAATCTTGATTCCTTCATTCTCCACATGGCAAAGTAATCTTTCTGAAATCCGCACCCGAGTTTATTAGCCTCCTCTAGCTTTGCTGTTTCCCTTAAGCTAATATTCAAGATGTTTGTAATTCTAACAG